CCCCCCCCCCCCCCCCCCCCCCCATCACTTTTCTAATGGTCCGCCCCTTATGCCGGCCTAGGTAATTGGCTTTATGATATAGTTGTTAACCAGCAACTAAAGCAGTTTAGATATTTATCTTTACTGTGTCCTGCACATGATTTTTGGCCTTTGACATCAGCATTAATTACTAATCCAACTATAAGTTTTGAAGTTCTGAACCATGCATTAACTCTCAGTTCGATACATAGCTTCACTTCCTCCACATGATTTTTGGAGCCTGCAAACCCAGAATTCGTAATTTAACTCATGCATGCGCTTTGAAGCACGCATTTTGAATATGGAGCTAGCTAGCCCTCACAGGTAAACTACGTCAAGCGTTCCTCTTTTGAGTTTCTAAATTGATTGCAATTTTCCTCAATACCTTTGCAAGTCAGAGAACTCCCTTGCAAATCCCTTGAAGAAAGTTGCAATGTTGCTAAAAGCCGATAAAATTTTCCTCAGTTCCTGTTAGAAGTTCCTAACTTCCTGTTGCAAGTTCTTAACTTCCTGTTCTGTTCTGCGTGTTGCAATTGGCTAACAAAAATAATCGACCAATGACAACGTTCAAAACAGAACAGGAAGTCAGGAAATTAAAACAAAAAGTTAGGAAAATTTAAAATGAAGTTTTTTGCATTGGAATATTGCAACAGCCGATAGGAACATTGCAAATTCCCTCAAGGCATTTGCAAAGAGTTTTTCAAATTTGAAAACCTAATAAGGAAAATTCCAAATGAGTTAGGAAGTCAAAAGAGGAACGCTTCACGTAGTTTACCTGTAAAACTACTATATTGATGTCCCGGTCATATGAGGATGAGAATAAAATTAGAATGATTAAAAACAATTGTAACTTTCATTATCGCGTGTGACCGCAAACTCTCTAATAATGGTTTATTTACCAAAAAAATCCTCAAAAACTGTCATTTACAAGATAAGTATATAAAACAGTGATATGCGAGGACACCTCAAGTTGGTATTAGGAAGCCACCGCATTTGGCAATTTAAAGTCCAGGTGAGTAAAAAATGAATATGATTTTAGCAGGGCCGCCCAGAGGGGGGGGGGGGCAAAGAGGGCAAATTTCGCCTGGCCCCGAGTTGCTGGGGGCCCCTGAAAAATTTTTGTAGGGCCCCAGCCTTTTTTGTGTGTTAAATATTTCCGCGCAAAGGACAAGATATCTGTTTTCTTGGGCTAAGTACCGAATTTTGGCATAAAAAAATGAGATAAAGTCCCTCGAAAGCATTTGCAACGTACTCGTCCGGCAAAATTTTGTACTCCGGAAAAGTTTTTTTACCCCTAAAATGGTACACTGATCGAAAATTGTTTGGCGACAGGGGGGGGGGAGGTTGTTATCCGGAAAAAATTTTTTCCGGGAAAATTTTTTTAGATAGGGGCCCCTAAAAAAAATTTGCCCCGGGCCCCCGCCAACCTCTGGGCGGCCCTGGATTTTAGGCTGAATATTATTAATATGTTTATAAAAAATTATTCGAGTACATACGCCCATTCAGATAAGAATCGTACACGTCTAGTCGTATTCTGTAGATATGCCTTAACTAGTAAATTACTCTAGGTTGACAGTGCCAATCATTAAAAACAACTGACACCTCTCTAATATGGACACTTTGAACCGTCCTGTCGTCATCCGTATATTATAGCGAGGTTCAGATTTGACTTCCAGTATATACCGCTATCACTATCCTCTCACTGCATGGCTTAGAACGCATCTGATTGGTTAATCGACAGGGACGTAGCGAAGCACCTAAAGTTGGGAGGGGGGTGTCTGAGGATTTTACCTGAGGAGGGGGTCTGGGGTCCTTCTTCAGAAGACTTTTACATTTTTCAAGCCCCAGGACTGCATTTCTGGCGTTTTCTAAAGCAAATTCGCAAACGAATTGGATTTAAGTTGACTGTATTTTACAAAAGTGGTTATCATTTCACAAAAATAACGACTTTATTACGCAAATTTTACCTGAAAATCTCAAAATTTTAACTTGAATTTCACCTGATTTTTACCTGAGATTCACAGTTGGGGGGATTTACACCCCACCCCCCGGTCGCTACGTCCCTGTTAATCGGATATATCAAGCGCATCTGATTGGTTAATGGTCCCTTAATGGTAGCGGTGGTAGAAGTCAAATCTGAACCTCTCTATTATAGAAATTCGACTGTACACGTGTTAACCTTTAACAAACATCACCGAAAACGTTTAGGGTCGATAATTTATTTTTGGAGGGCTTTTGTACATAGGAATTTCCAGTGTAAATTTTATACCTTTTACAAGTAACCAGGAGCAGTTGCGAGAAATGGAAGTATGGGCCCACTGGCAGGAATCAAACCTGTGGTGCAGCACTCTAACCAACGGAACTACAGAGTCCACTTGTCGACTTTTAACCGCAACGTCAATGAAGAGCGCAGTCCCGGAATCGCACGACCACAGGTTCAATCCTTGCGAGAGGTCCTATAGTTGATTTTCATAGATGCTCTTGGTTGGATGAGTGATTTACACCGAATTTATATTATGAATATCTCGTCTAATAAAATGTATATGTTAAATAGTGTGAAATACATTGAACTTAAACTTGTTGTGATGTCTTAAATAGCGACAGTTTCTAAGTAATATAAATTTGATAATCTTGTGGAGTGTGAATGTTTGTTCTTGTGTTTTGTTATATAAGCTAAATTAAATTTCCCCAGCACGACTTAATACCTGCCGGGGAAATTTAATTTAGCTTCATTTACTCCAACGACGACCTAAAGCAAATTTTCCACTAGACGAATTTGTTCGCGCGAAGCGAAAAACAAATCTTGGCAATGTGATTGGTCAGCGAGAAAGTTCGCCACGAAAAAGTTGGATCATGCAGTTCCTACTTTTCACTGTTCGCGTCAACAAATTCACCTAGTGGAAAATGGGCTTTAAGCTTGGTTGACACAATCAAAGTTTCTGTGATCACAACAGTAATTTTGCATTAGTAAATTCTAAGTTTTGAAGGATTTGTAAGAAATATTTCATGGAACTGAAATAAACACTAACGCCTGTATTCAAAAAGCTCACTCACACTCACACTTGAGTGTGACTCGAATGAGATGCACTCAAGTAGGGTTGAAGTGTGAGTGTGAGTGTGAGTAAGAGTGGAGTATGAGTGTGAGTGTCCACTCAACGAGGGAGCACTCACTTTAGAAAATATTAGCTAGATTCGTATTCAAAGAGCTCACTCGAGTGTGACTTGCTGGAGTTTGGGTTTGATGTTGATGTAGAAGGTATATAAGCTATAGTGAGACTGTTGTAGACTTGTCAATGCATTGTACGGGGTTGCTGAACAATATGGCTGAAGCTAGACAATGTTTTTCGCAATTGGAAAAGTTGCTGTTAACTGAATTAGTGCCAAAATACAAAGATCTTCTAGAAAATAAAATGAATAATTAAAAGCCATACAACGTATATTAATGGACAACTTGCATGTTAGACTAAATTTTAATCTAAGCATAGAACAGGGAATCAAACACCACAGCTAAAAAGAACATACTGAAATTAGTAAAAGTGCAAAATTTGGTTGCGAAATGTTGTAAAATACAGAAAATATAGCCTTGCAAAGTTTGCATATTTTCAGTATATTTGTATTACGAGCCGAAATTGTTACCATTTTTTAGCCGAAAATGGTAACAATTTCCGCACGTAATACAAATATACTGAAAATATGCAAACTTTGCAAGGCCATATTTTCCAAGCTTTACAACATTTCCCAACCAAATTTTGCACGTTTACTAATTTTAATAAGTTCTTAACGGGAATTTACTTTTTTTTTTCCTAGATCGGTTAGATAAAAAATTTGTCTAACATGCAAGTTGTCCATTGCATTATCATATTGAATATGTTATTCATAATTTACGTAAAATGTTGCATGATCAGGGCTTGTCGTACCGCATTGCCCAAACGTCGGTAAAACATCTACTTCTTCCTCATCGCGGCCAGAATATGTTCTGGTTCATATAGATATGAAGTTGAACAACACAGCTGTAACAACAATTATAGTTAGGGACGTTTGCAATTTTGTGCGAAGGGTTGTTCAAAGACATGGAAATAGCATTTTCCATACGCCAAACATCCTTTCCACGGTGTTTCGTGTACGTACGCATTTGTGTTACATCAGTTATCTGATCTGCGTTGCGGTAGTTTGCGGTTGGGTTTGCGATCAATTGCTGGTGTCAGTAGATGTTGACGGCATGGATAACCGTTATCACCAAGTAATATACTCTGGATATCACCACGTTCAAACTGTGCACTATATGCGACTATTGTCGAATATTCTGGCGTCATGTATGCTACCTGGCCAACGTGCAACAATGTTTAAAATATCTAAATTTGGCCCGCAAACAGCTTGAATTCGCCAGAAATCAAGTTTGAGTTGATCCAAAATATCGCCTTCAGGAAATGTTATGTAATTGTTCCTTAATTAAGCGCGGTGCGATTGCCTCGGATACTCGCATTATAATTCGATTTGCTGATGGCTGCGAAATCTCACACAAATCTCCGCATGCTACATGGAATGTACCCGTGACGTACAACATTAGCGTCAACAAAGTTGTATATCTGACCTAATGGGCTTTCCTCAGTTTCCTCGCTCGTTGTGGGGGGGCAAGGGTATTTTCGTGACTCGTGATTAGCAATTATTCGTGATTCGTGATTTAAAGAAATACCATTCCGTGAATCGTGATTAATATGCGTGCCGTGAATCGTGAAGAGCTAAAAGGCTAGCTATGGTCTTGAATTTACAAATATTTTACCCTAACTTGTGAATGTTTACGTTTAAAACTCGGCCCAAATGTAATATTATGGGGGAAAATTTATAAATTTGCTTCCCGCGGTGGTTATAGCTCTTGATGTTTCTTCGTTTCATCGGTAAACATCGTTATCGTATACCTTTGTACCTCTTCGTAAACTTTTTTTTTTTTATTATTATTATTATTAATGGTTTAAGATACACACCTTCGCAATAGATTGAATTATGGTGCGTTTACAAAATTGGTACGCTATATATTTACATATATAAAAATTTAGTTGCATGCATCAAGTCTAAAAACCTTATTGAATTGCATTAAAATCATCGTAATTAAGTATCACGCTTAAGTTTCTTTACTATAACTATTATATAGAGCTACTGTACTGGGAAAAAAGCTACGGCGATATCTTTCTGTTCGGCATTTTATTGTTGTTAATGTGTTAGAGTTTCTAAGTTCATAATCATTTGAACTAGCCCTAGACAATGGAACATATTTTGACAGTGGTCCTTCAATTTCTATGCGTTTCATAGTATTGAGGCAATGTCGTTCTCGCCTTTCATCCAATCTGGAACACCCAAGTTGTGCTAATGCTTCCCTATAAGAGTAACCCGGTAAAATAATCCTCAGCGCTCGTTTTTGCACTCGCTCTAAATCATCGGCGAGGTACAAAGGTAGGGCATGATGCCATACCACACAACAGTACTCCAGAACCGATCGTATTAAGGCAAAGTATATACTCAATAAGTCTTCCGCAGGGACACCACCTCGCCGTAATATGCGGATGATATATAAACGTTTAGAAGCCTTGGATACAACTGATTCTATGTGTGCATTCCATTTAAGATCGTTTTGGATAACCAGACCTAGGACTTTATGAGACCGCACAACCTCAAGCGCATGACCGTCGATCAACAATGGTGATAGATCAGGTGATTCCCTCAGAAAGCAAACGCGTAGTTCTTTGCACTTTTTGGAGTTAAGTTTCATAAGGTTGCACGAAGTCCAAGAATTTATAGTATCAATACAGAACTGAAACTTTGAGTTGCTGCCCTTTGTGATATTTTCAGATGTTGATATGTCATCCACAAATTTCCAAATATCCGTTGCGTGTGGTTTCACATCGAGATCATTTATCATCGCCAAAAACAGAATTGGACCGAGTTTAGTTCCCTGGGGGACACCCGCATTCATTGGCAACCAGTCTGACGTTTTCCCTCCAAGTTTGACCCGATGACGGCGGTTAGTTAGGAAGTTGATAATCCAAGGCAACAGGGACGATCTAACACCTAGGTCCAACAGCTTTAATATTAGTAAATTATGTCCTATACGGTCAAACGCCTTTTCGAAGTCAAGGAAACAAAGTCTAAGATGTTTTTCAGGACACTCTAAGTTGCACAACCAAGTGTGGATCATGTCTAAAAGACAATAGGTTGTGGATGTTCCTTTCAAACATCCAAACTGCTTGGGGTCGATCTTGTCTTTAATATCGGTTATCATCCACCCGACCACGAAATCTTCAAGAACCTTAGCCAGGCAGGGTGTCAGTGAGATGGGTCTGGTGTCACCTTCACAGGTAGGAGGTTGTGATTTTGGAACTGGTATGATGTCTGAGTCTTTCCATATTGCAGGCACGATTCCAGATGAAAGTGATTCGCTGAAAATAGTTGCAACAGGTTCGGCTAATTCATGGGCATACTCTTTCAGGATACGACAGGGGACGTTATCTGGGCCGTGAGCTTTAAAAGGTTTAATTTCTAAGAGCTTTTTACATACTTCATGCGGTTGAACTGTTGGAGCAGGTTCATTGGCCGGAAGAAATGCGGGGAGTGTCGCTAAATTAAGTGGTGGAATGTCACTATTCATCGATGCATAGAACACATTCAAAGCTCTAACTAATTCTGATTGATCCAGAGTTCTTCCATCATGTTCAAGCGAGAAGGAGTTCTTTCCAGATTTTCCTGCCATTTTATTTACGATTTTCCACCACATACGGCAGTCATCCTTCTTTAAATGTTGTACCTTTGTTTTGTAGTACGATATTTTCCTCGCATTGATTTCATGTTGGACCTTATATTTCAACGATTTCCACAAGATTGTATTATGACTATGAAACGCCTTTTGTCGATATTTGATAAGCTGTTTTATTGCAGGTGTTATCCATGGTTTATCGGTGTGATGACGTGTTGACGTCTGTTGTGGGAAGATTCGGTCAATACTTTCTGTTAACTGGTTTGTAAACGAGATTGCCAAGCTATCAACAGTAGGGTTGGGTTCAAGGTCACAAAACCAATTATGTGTGGTAACCCATCTTCCGAAAGCATCTAATCCTGATCTGGGATAGCGCCGTACTAAGGATCTAACAGGTTTTGCTTGGATGTTGTGGCTGGGAATGCTATCGACTGAAGGTAGCCAGTGTACAATATTATGGTCACTGGATCCTAATGGAGCAAGGACATTAGGGCGGTCATATAAATTATACAGGTTTGTAAGAATAAGATCGAGTATTGCTGATTCTCTAGTGGGTTGGTCAACAACTTGTTTAAGATTTTGACTGGTGGTCAAACTGCGAGTTTCAAGATCATTAAAATCACCCATAATTAACCGCCCATAGTGAACCATCGTACGATGCTCGTAATGCCTCGCAATGATTTCCATTGTCCTTTAAACGGCTCTAATGTTAAAGTCAGTATGTGTTAAATGGTTTCAGACTTTGTTACGCTTCTGTGTTTCTAAAAATCGTGAAAATGAAATTTTGTTTTTCATGACTCGTGAAATCGAAAAATGATCTTCGTGATTTCGTGACGAGACCCCCCTCTTGCCCCCCCCCCCCTGTGTAGATATTATCCAGTAACTCTCGAAATCCAGCCTTAGTTACCCGGTATCTGCATCAAAACTGCTCCTCGTCATATTTCCCATAATAAAAAATATAATTATGGTCTCCTCCTGTCTCTGTTGTTTCTTGCGACATTGTCCAGTAATTCTAACCTTCTTAACCACCTTTCCGCCATATTTGAATCACTAAGTACAAGGTGAGTCTAACTGAGTGCGGCTCAAGGGACGTCTACCTCTCACTCACACTTTACTCAAAATCGGAGCTTCACTTGAGTGTGAGTGGTGTCTTTGAATAGTTGGAGTGTGAGTGTCACATTATACTATGTGAGTGTGAGTGGACACTTATTGAGTGGTGAGTTGCACTCGTTAAGAATGAATGACCACTCATTGAGTGTGAGTGTGAGTGAGCTTTTTGAATACAGGTAGCCTGCATGGCAGGCGGTACGTAGGAAATACCGCCTGCCGCAAAACTGGGTGTAAATGAACTACCGCCCCTGAAGCATCAACGCTATTTATAGATGCATTAATTAAGTAAATATTCAAAATTAGCCACTCCCAAGCTGCTCCCAAGTCCCAACTGCCCAACATAAAATAAATTCCTTGATTCTCATCACCGCCCGACTGAATTTTAAAATCCTCGTGAAAAAGTTTTATTTTTATTTACACAATATAAATGTACCGCCCGACAAAATAATTCAAGACAGTTAATTTTTTCATATTTTATATAGAGTTTTATTGCCATTTTAAACTTCCAATTTGAAACAAACAGAATTTTGAGTGAAATTTCATTGTATTTTAAAGAAACCCAGTCCTTCTGTCATTGTTCGTGGAGATACGAACTATTGATATATAAATTATATAAATATAAAATATAAAAAATAAATCTCCCACTGTCTTCGACATTTCAAAGTGTAGACTGTGTCTAGTGATGAGAATCAAGGAATTTATTTTATGTGTTAATATAAACCTAGCCTGCTCGCAGGCCGTTGTCAGGCAGAGGCTGCATGGGAGGAACGGCCTGCGACCTTTATTAGTAAAAAGTCGATTTATGCGTACGCTCCGTACGCAAAATTCCCATTGGTCAGAAGTGCCCCATGAGTTAATATCGTGCAAATATTTAACTCGTACGACATTTCGCAATGTAATTTTAAAGCTGGCATGCAATCAGTGGCGTATAAAACCATGACTTTGTTTATCTCTTCGAAGAAGTAACTGAATGTATTTGAGAAACCTTTCAATTTAAATTAACGTTGAAGGTTGAGCGAAGGTTAGCAATATTAACTGTACTTCCAACGGGATTTGATAAAAGTTTACATGTAATATACCGATACTTTGTCTTCGTCAGCTATAATAATAAACCTTTTCCAAAGAAGTACAAGGGAAAACTTCGACGTATGCCTTGCTGATCTTTGCAGAGAGAGTAAAATAAGTCTAGTTCAGGCTGACAATTTATCTAACCGCGTTTGCATCACTTGCGGTTTCAAACGTTGAACAACTTAAGGTTAGCCCAGCGAGACGTTCGTTGAGACA